AGTCAAAAAGTAGTAGAAAAAAATCATGTCAAATCTTTTTAAGAATGGTTGTGAGTCTTGCAGTAATTTTAGCAATTATCTGCTTCATAGGCAATCTTGTTTCCCACCAGTTTTGTATCTCTGAAATGTATCTTTATCATGTCTCTATCAGGAGCTGGATCCACAGTGACGTTGCCAGACAAGCCTAAAAATTTACAAAAAGTTTCTTTTTAAATGAGGAGAAGGGAACTGGCTTCTGGATCTACAAATGTGACTCTCTCTGTGTCTAAAAACACTTACCTGGAAGCTTAGTCTTTGCCAAATTAAAAAAGAAAACTGCATTGTGGCCTTGAAAAGTAGATGGCTGTACCCTTCTGTCCCAGGACCATGTAGTTTTGGCTCTGTATGCAGGCTCTGACTGCTGTGGCAAGAGATGAGCACACAAGGGCCAGCATGGGTTCGGCAAAAAGGCTTTGATTACAGCCCTGGCTCCACCTTGAGTGTTTTAAAAAGTCCTAGAATAGGGATATAAAGAAGCATGACATTTCCTGAGTTTTTTCCAATATTTATAGTGTTTTAAATTTGTACTGTTTAATCGCATTGGGGGTGAAGTGTGGGCAGACAAGGCAAGGGAATTGTACATACTGGAATATGAAGACTACCCATTCTGTAGAGTTGTGATGTTCTCTTTTGCAAATGGTATGTAAAGAAATGATGCAGATAAGACGTATGGGAAACATCTATGTCTTTTCCAGGCTTTGTGCTTGGATTAGCACTAGATGGCTGTGCTGCTGCAACGAGACATTGCCTTAGCAGCAGGCTTAAATAACAGGTGTAATAAACCTCACCCACAGCCAGCTTCTGAGAAAGTTTCCACCAGATTTCTCCAGGTGTTGAGCAGCTGTGGATCCCACACAGGCAAATCTCAGTTAGGAGTTGTTTGCTTTTTCCTTGAAACTGCTATTCCAGTGGATCTTGCAATGGGAACCATTTACAGCCCAGTTACTCTAACTTTATTAATAGCATCAAATCATTGCTATTTTTGCAGTCATTTAAATCAGTGAAATTAACAGTTTCCCCTGAAGAGTAGGATGTGTCTAGGAGATTAAACCCTGTGCTTTCTGCTGGGGTCTAGAGCCTGTGACCTCTCCCTCAGTCAGCATCTGTGGCAGGAGGAGCTGTGAGGGCAGCCCAGAGCTGTTTTGTAAGGATGTCACAAGATTTTTCCTTCAGCTGGCAGCCTGTGTTTACATTGACTCAGAGCTTATGAAAGCATCTCCCAAGGCTAGCTCCAGATTTGTTGTGTTGTTTTAGAGCTATGAACATTGGTTTGCTTTCAGTGATTTTGCCTTCCATTTTCTGTTTGCAGCTGTTATCTTAATAGCACTTTGAAGTGGCTTCTCTTAAACAGCAACCCAAGTTCCCTATTGTATATCAGTGGTAGGGCATTATTTTATTTAATTTAATTTAGATGGTTGTTGTTAAAGTAGAAAATGAGGTGAAACTCCAAAATGGGAACAATTAAGAAAATTAAGAAGTGGAATTAGCAACAAGGAGAACCCAAGACAGGCGAGAAAGAATGAGGTGAGGTTGCAAACAGTGCATTAAAAACGGTTGTACAGAGACAGAAAATAGACTTGCTCCAAAGGGCAGGAATCCAAGGAAGTGTGGGCATAGTAGGACTGTGAAGATGCTCTGGCCAATCAAGGCACTGAATAAGAGACTGGAGCGAGGGAAGCTGAGGTGAGACCTACAGGAAGCCCCCCCACTGGTGCAGCTCTTGCCTGGGTTCCTGGCTGCCGCTGTCCTGCTCAATCAAGGAGCTTCTTTTGCCGGAGAGAGTTTGGGATGGGATGGAAGGGTGTGATGTGTGTAGTGGGAGAGGCACATCATGAGATTCGCAGAACAAGGGATGTCTGAGCCTGCACATCAGTGATGATGATATTGGGAGGAGGGGATCTGTGCTCACTCCAGCTGAGTTTCCTCCAAGGTCTCTGCAGTGGAGCAGGGCACAGATTCTCCAGTTGCCTCCGTCCCTCAGCTGTGTGCATGCCTGATGTAAAGTGGTTTGAAGACTAAGGAAAATAGTCTGAAGCAACACCCAGAAGTGAATAGGGAATCAATGGAAGTTGTTGCTTGTAGGACCGAGGTACACATTTCCCAGCCATGTCTGTGAGGAGCAGCAGCATCAAGTCCATAAATTAATGAAGCAGGGATAGCCAGGATTTTATTCCACCATCGTCTAGTTCAGAAGTGGTCTGTATGCAAATTTTCTAATACAAAAAAGAAAATCAAGAGCAGGTGCTTCATTAACCTGATGATAAATTAGTAGAGTATTGGTTGGGGGCAGAGCTGATATGAAATAATGAAATACAATTAGTGGCAGCTGGTTTTGTTGTTTTTTTTTTAAAGCATGTGAACACTGTTTTCACACAGATGCCTGATTTTATTTAGCCCTAACTGGTAAGGAAAATCAATTTCAAGAAGTGAAGGATGCAAGCACATCAGTTGAATAAACAGGATTATTGAATCACAGATCACTATTGTAACAGGTTAATTTACAAGAAAGTATCACATCTAAAGTGAACACTGACAAAAGTACTTTCCATTTTGACTATTGGCTTCCTTTTTATTTCTTTCTTTCAGAAAGAAATTCACATATCATAAATGCTTTGTGTCTAGTGCCCTATAACAAGTAAATACATATACAATGGGTCAAATTTCCCTTCAAGGCTGCGCATTGTAAGTGAGAGGAAAATGTGATGCGGTGTTTGATTACTAGAGCTTACTGTTTCAACTCACTGTTATTAAAAATGGCATCATACATCCTCCATGTAGACATAGGGAAAAATGTATAAAACCTAAAATGTCAGTGGCCATGTCCTTGGAAGCCTATGTTGATGTCCACCATTTAAGAAGACCAGATCTGAGCCCAAACTCACCAAAGAGTTTGGTAGCGCAATAAGTCCTGTTGCTGTGGGGAGATGATGGGAGAGACAACCAGCAGCTGGTTTTTCTTTCACCATGTAACTCACCACAACTCTGGAATGCATCAGTGTCCCGCATAGACAACCATGACAGAAAAACCCATATGCCACACGTAGCTATGAAGTCTGCATTGCCTTTATGCATAAACTTTTTTTCCCAATTTCCCTGTTGGTGCTATTTTTCCTTTTTACCCCCTTTGTAATCCCTTTGGGGTAATTTAGGATTCCTTTTTTGTGTGTGTATTTTGGGCAGGGGAAGTCCCTGCTGCCATTTGAGGCCATGTTGAATCGCACTGCTGAATGGGTTGGCTCACTCCTATACAAGAGCCAAAAATATTTAGCTGATGAATCATTCAAGAAAAGGCAAAGGAATGTAAAATGTAAAAACCAGTGTTGCTTTTCCCAGTAGGAAAAAATAGAAATTTTGTTTTCTTCCATTCAGTAGGGCACTATGCTTTTTTTGCTTTTGAACATAGGCTTCACCTTTGCCTTCTCTTGTCCTCTTCTCCTCCCGGCTTCAAAATGTCTGCAGAGAGATACAGCCATAAAAGGTCCTTTGCCATGTGCTGTCCCCTGGCTGCTTTTGTCTTTGATTAAGCAAAGCTACAACCAGCATCTCATCCATAAAGTTGGAAATTAAACTGGAGGGGAGGAGTGGTAGAGTGCTGCAACTGCAGCCAAAGGGCAGCTGAGCAATTTGTCTGAAAACCAGCCCAGTTTGTTTTCATCCAATGTTTTCAAATTCTTTGACATGGAAAAGAAGTAGAGCCCTAGCAACTATAATAAGTGTGATGCATACATAATTACCAAGAGGCACAATCTTTGTAAAATATTTGTGTGGCTTTTCCAGTATATCTGATCTTTTTTCTTAGCAATAACAGCTGAAGGATTAGCCATTATCAAGGTCCAGAGACATATTTGAAGCAGGAGGAATGAACAATTCATCAGGAATACCCACATGATAAACAGTGTAAGATGCCAGTTCTTGGGTGGATTTGAGTGTATGTTATCTGATGAATCCCTTTGGAGCATTTGTTAAAGACAATGGGAAGTGGAAGTATGACTGGAAAACACCTGCACAAGGATCTGGGCTGTATGGGAACATTTTAGGGCTGAATAGACATTTGGATAGGATTCCAGTTCAAGCCCCCAAGGGCCCATGAGTGTGTGAGATCCATAACCCATGTTAGAGCATATCTTCCATCAAAGAAACCACATCCGTGCCAGTGGCTTGGGAATGGCCTGTAGAGGAACACAGCTGTCACCTCTGGGTCTCTGTGTTCCCTGGGTAAAGGCCGAGAAACATTTCTCAGGCACCAAGACATTCCCCCAGATGGTGGCTAAAGTAGACTCCAGCAATGAAAAGATTTAGATCTGTTACCAGCCCCAAATGGACTTTGGTCCAGGTGACAAAGCTTTCAATCCTATTTGTTTTCCTATAGCACTTAACTTGTCCCCCATGTAAGAGCTAGTGGGTAAGCCCTTGCCAGACCCTTGGCAAATATTGCTTGTGTTAGACACACTATTAATCACGTCTGTAATAATTTCTTAACTTTCCATTAAATATTTCCGGCAGCTCTTATCCTTGCCAAAAAATCTCTCCTTTTACTCTCAGAGATAAAATCAGCACCAGTTTCAAGGGCACAGACTTAAGATAATTCTAAGAACTAAGATTATAGTGTTTTCCACACTTCTACTTTGGCCTAGTTCAACAGCTCTCTGAGGTAGAAAGTATAACTATAGCAAATAGCAGAAACAAAACTAATTACTTATTTTAGAATTAATAAGTTGTGGCATAGACTATGAGTCATTTCCTTACTGAACTAATTTTGTTTTTACTCATCAAATTTGCTCATGGGGTAATTATCCTCAAGACAGGGAGGTTTTTTCCCAGAACAAATTTAAAGAGACATTAGCATCTTCTAAGGTCACGTCCCAGATGATTCCCTGATAACACATTACAGGCATTTACAGAATGAAGTTTGTGTAATACAACCATAGCTAACAAACTGTATCATGACAGAGGAAAAGAAAAACAACGGAACATATTTATTGGCATAGTAAGTGCATCATATAATATCTTAACATAGTAAACGTTTGCATTTATTTTCTCAAATGAATTGTCATCTTGTGCAGCTAAAAATATTATGAAGTTTTCTGTCAGTCTTTAAAAAGTTAAGAACATTAAAGAAACATCAAAGCTTCCTCTGGACATTTTTGACCTAGATATTCTGACACTCAGAGCAAAAGGCTGGTGCAAAGGGGCCCCAAATATACTTCTAAATCCTTTGAGATTAGAGTGAAATTTTAAGCTTTCAATTTAATAATATTCTTTATTTTTCCCCCAGTCATTCTATAATCCAGTAATTTGTAGATGGAAGTATCTCCAGTATTCTGTGCTTTAAAATTGGAAGCAGTTGATTAAATTTGTATGAAGATATCAAACACAAACATAATGTATTTGAAAGAAAATTTATTGGCTAGAATTTCTAGGTACATGCAAAAAAATTGAGCCAACATTTAAATGCCTCAAGTTGGAGATTTTTTGTTTTATTCTTTTTTCCAGTGGGAAACAGCCTTTACAGGAATAACAACAGAAGGTCAGGTTTGAGAAACTCCCTTTACTCACTACACTCTTGGTAATCCAGTGTGTTGGGAGGTTCACACTGCCAAGCCTTTAGGTCAGAACACAGATCTGCTGCTTTCCAAGGATCCTAAATGAACAGAAGTGTAATCCCTGCGAATTCAGGCAGGGATTGTAGATCAAGGTCAAAAACCCCTGCCTGCTAGGGGTCCCTGCCACGACCTGAGCCCTCTCACAGCCCTTTCCTTGTTGCTGTTGGCTGGGAAGAAGGGCCTCATCTTTAACAGCAAAAAGTTGTTCATGAAACTTGTGGATTTCACATTTTAATTTATACTATTAAGTCTTTACCAGCTGCCTACTCTTTCTTACAATAGGTCCCTCTGCTACCTTGCAGCCATTTCATCTGTTACTTTTCACACTTTCTTTATCCCTTGCATACCACATCCATCTCCCCAGTCTTCCATACCCTCTACTTCTCTTGTTCTCTCTGCATTGTATGCTATTTGCTGCCAGTTCATCCCTTATCAGCAGAATAGAAAGAACTCCCCAGCTGCTTCTCTCCTCCACATGTAGATGAAATATTTTTTTACTTAAGCCATATTCATGCTGATTCATATTCCACACACTCATAAATCTGCAAAATTTAGATGGTAAGTTATGAACTAAGTCAAGGAGTTTCTTTAAGCAATTTTTAAAGCACTGGGTCCTCTATACCTCAGATAACAGAAATAATTTTGCTATGTAACACAGTGCTTTTCTTTTGTTGAGATAATAACAACTTAATTTTTCACATTGCATTTAAGCCTCTTGACTTCCACTGTATGTCTCAGAGCCTCAGATTAAACACATGCACAAATACCTTGCAGAAGCTGGTGTGGGCGTGTTAATGGCTTGTATATGAAGTTTATCTTTGGCCCAGAAAAAAATTTACTTTTTAACTCCAGTAGCCCCCCTACCAGAAAAGAGATTTGACTGAATATGTTTTTTTCCTAAAGCCAGGAATACAGTTAAAGATCTACTATACCAACTCTTGTGGGAAAGCATTAGTACTGATGAAAACAAATGATGTACAGCATGGTGCCTGAAAGAGGAAAAATCCTTTAGGAAAACATCATAAGGCTTGAAACCCAACCTTGATGATGGTGTCCTAGACAACAGCAAGATCTAACCTACTAAGAACACTCCCTCCTCATATTTTCTCATCAATAACTAGATAGCAACTGCAGGGTTTTTAAGGAAATCTGAGATGATCACAGCTCAGAAATTCTTGACCCCTTTGCAGTGGTTGGTACCAAGAGCTCTATGCAGAACATTGAACTCCTGGGATTGTGTGTTAGTACTCAAATTTATTAACTATTCCAGAAGACCTTGTAGTAGGTAGTCCCAATGCCTACATTAAGTATTTCCTGCTCTATTAGGCCAAGTGACAGACTGAAATACTGCCTGGCATGCAGAGATAATAGGAATAACATTTTGTCTGGGTTTTCTTATGCCTGCATTCCCTTGCCTGGAGGTGCTGACCCAATCAAAACAGCACGTGCTCTTTCTACACACCTGTACCTTTGCATGTGTTTGTGCATGTGCACTCAGACACAGAGGTTTGTATAGATACAGATATGTCCATATAGTTTTGATTAATTTTTATGTTGCTCTGGACAACCTTTTTAATATCTCATAAAATAAGGCACTGAGCATTTAATATTTATTCTCTGGGGATAAACATTTGTTATCAGCCTGGTATGAGAACTTCAGGTCACAATTGAGATATTTACAGCAGATGATTATCATAACAAGACCATTTGCAAGCTGACATCAACATTTTTCATTCTTACCTTTTTCCAATTCCCAAACTGATAAAGGAATACATTATATTTCTGCTCCTAAGGAACGCACCTAAATAAAACTCAACAAAAGAAAGAATTTATTAAGCCACCTTATCTTGATCAGTTTTGGACCCAAATCAGCAATGAGGATAATTGTAAAAAAATCCATGGACTTGGGTTGTCTTGTATTAGGTTAATGATGTGGTACCTTATTTGTCACAGTAACTATGGAAAAAGGCACTTAAGAAAAACATTACAGAGCTGACTAAAGAATATTGTAGGCCTGTTGCATAGAACAAGAGTATTAAATACTGGACTGAGGTGATTTAAAATTGCTGTCAGCAAAGCCGTGTATCTTAATAGAGATGTTAACAACAATAAAAAATAATTAACCGTAAAATCTTAGAGATTAATTTCTGAACTGCAAAAATTATTATTAGTTTTCTGCAAACAATCACACAAAATAAAATTTAAAAAAAAAGAAAAAAAAAAGAAAAGATAAGTGTTCCTCGTTCCCTGGAAAGGCTGACATTAAAAGAAATAGTTTCTTTAAAGTGAGATCTCTTCCAATTAACGAAATATTGTTAGAGTTATGATATGGATGCAAGTCCTAAATTTTTATGCTTTGGCAATGATATGACAAAGAAAGTTGCCTGCACATTCAGTGTGTCAGGTTATATACTTTCAATCATTTAAAAAAAAAGTGGGTTATTAAAAATCATCTTATTTCACCTAAAGATATTACAAGTATGTTTTAAAGATTCCAACAAACAGATAATATTTTTAAAACTTGTTATATTTTTTTCTTCTGCAAAGGAAGAAAATGTATTTTGGTCAGCATAAATTTATGGTAAAAAAAATTAAATATTATGGTGGTGAATATTCTAAAAGTATTGCAACCCAAAGGATATGATCAGAAAGGCACAGTATCACTTAATGTTATTAGATTAACGTAGCACCATAACAATTCTGTGCGCTTCAGACTCTTGACATAAAATAAAAGATATAGACTTGTGTAGCAATCATCAACAATTTTTAAGTAGGTGGTTTGTGTTTAAAGGTGTGTAAAAGTCAAGCTCAGTTTTTGTTTTCATTAAATATATGGTTCTGCAAACATATTGAACCAAATTATTTGCTAACTGCTGCTGCTACCTAACAAGATACCTGTTATAATGTACAGGGTATTTCTAACATTCAGAAAGTGCTTTAATTTACTTGGGAAAGTTGGAGTCTGAATATGACATGATTAAAACCACCCACTTTGCAAAACTGTATGAAGCCAAACTAAAATACTGATTTCCAATGCCCAGTGTAATACATACTATCCTATCTATGAAGCTGAACTCAGATAAAAGTAATTTATAAAAACTGAAGAAATGTTTAGCACCCAAAAAATATATAATCTAGGATATTTAAATGATCTAAGTGATTGTCAAATAGCCACTTCAGGAGTCAGTGACTTCTCCCAATGGCAAAGCTAAACATTTAACTAAGAACTAAACCTACAGCTCTCCAAATACTAATTGTAATGCAAATGCATGTGTTTAAGACTTCTATAACTTCTCAAAGAAAATTCAAAGGCATTAAATTATTTCCTGATGTTTCTTCTTCTTCAAAATACTGAAACTATGTTGGTTAGTTTCTTTTTGCTGTTTTTACTGAGCAATGGAGTGAAATTTGTCTAAGGTCTAACCCTCAGCTACATAAATTTGAAATTTCTGTGGAAGTGTTCCTGTGGCAACCAGAAGAGGAAGTTTTCCAAACTAACAAGCATGAACTATACTGCTGCTTCTCAACATGGAGCTGTGGTCTTTAGAGAATGCCAGAATAATGTCTTATTCTCGTGCAGTTCTCTGAATCATTCTGCACATACAGTAATATGCTCTACTTGAATTTGAAAAAGTGGAACAGAACCCTGAGAAAAGTAAATCCATTGGAAAAAAAATAGATATTGTTTAATAATACCAGTGGGGATGTTTCAACCCTTCCATTTGGAAAAAAAAAATGACTAACAGGTGCAGTCATTTTTTTTCTCATGTGAATGATTTGAATTTATCACAATTGCAAACAGAAATATAGTTTGGGATTTTAAGTGCGTATCTAGGGTTGATTACAATTAGAAAGATTTTGTCTGACAATTCTACCCATCCCCCAGCATTTCAGCATTCCTCAAGTTACTATAGCATTACTTGTGAGCTTTGAGTTCAAAAACATTCTGACATGGAGTGATGTTCTTCCAGTAATTTCTGCAGCTGACTTTCACTCTATGGCAGTACAGGTGCTAAGCAAGTAAGATTCAGCTCTCTTCAGCCTTGTGTGCAATTCCCATCATTCCCATGTATCCAGAAGCAAATCTGGGCATATTTGAGAGGAGTAATTCTTACTGCTACATTGTAATCCTGCTGTTCACCATTGATATCCACCCACTGATGGCCTGAGTAAACAGCAATGATCTTGCGTTTCCACTTCTTTTTGTTCGGCTCCTTAAGACGGAGATAGATGCCAGATCCAGTGGAGCCAGGCTCAGCATCACAGTACTGGTAAAAGAGATCGTTGGACTCATCAGATATGCTACAAAATCTATAGACCAGCTGCCCAGACCGATCATTGTCAAAACCTGAGAAGTGGATCATGCTCCCAGGCATCATTTTGATTGTTGGGCTGATTCCCAGCTCCATGTATTTCCTTTTGTGGGGACGCTTGAGCTCAAGGACAGCATAATCATAATCCAGGGCAATATCCCCAGAAACACCCTTAAACCAGCCTTTTGGGATGTGGGTACTCTTCACTCTGGTCCACTGGAAGGAGGGCATGCCATCTGAGGTCCCTTGCTTCCTCCCAGGCCTCCTCTGCCTTTTCCTGTCGCCTTTGGATTGTTGACTTTGTTCTGTGGCAACTTTGGGATCCTCTTTGGCCATAGAAACTTCTCTCCTACTTCTTTTAGCACCTTTGCGTTTCCTGCCATTGCCTCTGGATTTCGTCTTCATCAGGCCCACCCTCAGTCTTTTGCTGCCCTTGACATAATCCTTGCCATTGTGCAGACAGTGGGCTGCTGTCAGCACGTGCTTGGGGGAAATGAGAATGCCACTGCAGCCAGTGGAGACCTTCACAGCTGTGTTGAATGGAAAGTTGGTCATAAACCGCTTGTCATAGATGCTGAACCTACTGTCCGTTCCATATATCTGCCTCTTCTTTCTCAAAGACCTTCGTGTGGTCGTGTTTCCAGCTGGGTCAAGCACTGCTCCGAGGACATTCACTTCAGTCAGGGTCCGTGTGCCATTTTCAAAAACAGTCTCATAGGATAAGAGGTCCTTCAAGTCAGACGAGCTTGGCACTGGCAGTTTTCTTTGACACTCAATTCCACATACGCTGTTCAGCTCTAATTTGGTTTTTGCTTCAAATTTAGGGCTGTCAAGGGAGAAAGTTCTTTCTCTCACAATCTGGGGAATCTTCTTTAAGTGCCAAGTAAAATCTTGTTCAGTTTCTGTTCCATTACTGAGACCCAGTATAGGTATGAAAAATATGAATAGCAGTAACATGTGCTCCATTTTATTTAATTTTTTCTAAAACAAGAAAGAGAGATTTGAAAATACACTTTGGAAATATACACAGTTATCTTAGTATCTTCAAAGTATAATCATGCAATATTAGAGCTGACATCAGTGGAACAGAATTCAACATTCTGCTCAAAATAGAAATGCCTCAAATATTTTCCTGTATTGCCTCCAACTCTTCCAATGGTCTCTAGCAAGATGAATGCAGACAATTCAGCCAACAACCATGCTGAGCTACCTACTGGAAGGTGAAACCAGCTGAGTTTTACCTGCTTTTCCCTCAGTGGAGTCATTCTGCTCACTGGAGCATAGAGCAACCCGGTTTTATTTATCCCATAGAAACGCAATTATGTATTATGTTTCTGCTTCTCTTCTCTATGGTTGAAGGTAGAATCTAGTTGAAAATCACCAATGTATTCAAAAGTTGGGATCCAAGCAGAGATGGATAGACAGACCACACTTGTGAGACCCTTAGGAAACCAGAACAATTGTGCTCTTTCATGTAATGGCCAAAAAGTAAGACCTTTAAGTCACACATAGTTCTGCATTACTCACCCAGCTAAGAACTATGAATCTGCCTATTATGAAAAAAGGCACTTTGCTAATTGCTATTCCAAGGAACCAAATTAGGAAGATTTCCTTTCCTCTTACAAAGGTTTTGTTGTCTTGATTGTCACAGTGCCCACAATCTGGGCACCTTAAAAGGGGTCACAGCCTATTTTAAACACTTTCAGCTTCAGCTGCTCTGAAGGTGTGGGTCTCCTGCTGATCCTGTATTTTATCTCCTCCCCTGTGTGCCATTGCCATCAAAACCTCATTCATTACCTATGTATGGGTGTCTGAATCTCTCTCAGGATGTCAGAGAACTTAAAAATCCATGGTTGGAGGGGACAGACAGACAAGTGAGAAAAGTAGAATCTTGCTGGTCTAGAGGAGTCTACATATATATATGCAGGTTACATATATATGCAGGAAAGCTCAGCCAAGTAGGAGGGACAAGCCTGCTTATTCATCACATGCCTTTTTCCTGTAGAATCCCACAACGGCTGCAGGAACTGTGCTGTCTGTGCCTTATTGTCACATGTGGAATACCCCACACACGTGGGGTGATGCATCACAAAAAGAGCTAATACTTTTAATGGGAAAGACAAAATACAGTATTATTCCCATCTGTAGCTGGAAAACATGCAGAAAGAAAGTAAGATTTTTAGAAGTCTGTGGCAGAGCCAGAAACTGAACCCAGAGCTCTTGAGTCTGAGCTCAAAACATTACTGAAAAGACCATTTTTCTCCTTTGGCAGCAGTGATGTCAGCGGCATTATCCAGCTACTGGCGGCTGCCATTGGGAAACCTGTGCTCAGTTCCAACATCCTTCATTCCAATTACATGGAAACCTCAGCTGTGAAGAAAGAGAAGGCCTATGATTAAACTTTAAAAGCCAAGCAATTCAAGGATATGTATGTGGTTAAACTCTGGTTTATATTGCAACGACAGTGTAAGCCAGGGCAAATATAACCACATTTCTTAAGTTTAGAATAATACAAGTGCTGCTTCCCAGTGAAACAGCCTGGTCACAGACTAGCTAAAGCGCTAGCGTAAGAAATAGGGGTATGTGCAACATGGGAAAAGAAGTGGCAACGTGACTTTTAAAGCTGGATAATGGACCAATGATTCCTATGGTTTTGAGGCATCTTCACCCTATAGACATAGTTGCTGTCTATAAGAAGTAATAATTATCATTTTTTAGCTAAGTAAGCACTACAGTTCAACCCCAGCTTGTTGCTTCTGATGCCAAATTCAGAGGGTGTTTTTGTTTTAGCATAATTTTGGCGCTTTTTACCTTGGCCAGTATGGAACACCAAGTTTGAGCCAGAGTTCACCTACTAGGATATACATAAACCACATTTTACAATACAGTATAAGGAAACCCTCTCTGGCTTTAAAATAGCTAACTCAGGTTTTGGAAAAGATGTGTGGACTTCCTTAAGACATCTGGAGATTACAGTGACTCACAGATCTAAGATCTGGGTTGTATGCGGTCATATGAAAAGGCATCTGAAGGTTTTGAAAGCAGAGCAGAATCATCTCAGGTACAAGATTTTGTAGAGACACCACTTGTTCATAGCAGTCTAAGTTATTGGTATAGCAGAAATGCACACATTTAAACATTAACTTTTATATACAAAGTTGCCTTCAAAGTGTTGGTTTGTTTATTGCTCAGTTAGTACTAAATCTGAAGAGGAATGACTATTTTACATATGCCTGCATACACGGAGAGGATTTTATATAGCCACATCTCTTCATGTAGACATGTGAACAAAATAATTCGCCCATCTGCCTCATACTATAGGCAAAACAACTAATTGTCAGACCAAGAATGCCTGTGTGGAGGTGACGTATTATCAAGCACCATTCGAATACATTTATGCGCCAGGCTGGGATGGGGGCTGACCTGGTGGAAAGCAGCTCTGTGAAGGAGGACCTGGGGTCCTGGTGGACAACAAGCTGTCCATGAGCCAGCAGTGTGCCCTTATGGCCAAGAAGGCCAATGATATCCTGGGGTGTCTTAGGAAGAGCATTGCCAGCAGGTCAAGGGAGATGATCCTGGCCTTCTGTTCAGCCCTGGTGAGGCCACATCTGGAGTGCTGTGCTCAGTTCTGGACCCCTCAGTACAAGAGAGACATGGAGCTCCTGAAACAGGTCCAGCAGAGGACTACGAAGATGATAAGGGACTGGAGCATCTCTCTTACAAGGAAAGGCTGAGGGAGCTGGGCATGTTCAGCCTTGAGAAGACTGAGAAGGCTGAGACGGGACCTCATCATTGTCTATAAGTATCTGAAGGGAAGATGTCAAGAGGATGGAGCCCGGCTCCTCTTGGTGGTGCTGAACCATAGGGCAAGAGGCAACAGGCAGAAACTGATGCACAGGAAGTTCCACCTGAATATGAGGAGAAACTTCTTTCCTGTGCTGGTGACCACACACTGGAACAGATTGCCTAGAGAGGCTGTGGAGTCTTCCTCACTGAAGATATTCAAGAACTATCTGGATGCAATCCTGTGTCACGTGTTCTAGGATGACCCTGCTTGAGCAGGGAGGTTAGACTGGATGACCCACTGTGGTACCTTCCAACCTTATCCATTCTGTGATTTTGTGATACCTAGGGATAAATTATAAGGTGTCAAAATAAGAAAATACTGTAATGACAGCATAAGAATAGCTTTCCTGGCCTGACCAAAGGCCTGCCAGGTCTAAAATCCTGTTTCTGATGCTGGCTAAATGTGGATGCCTAGGGTAGAGGATAAGAATAAGGTAACCATGTATGTCCCTCCTCCCTCATAGTTTCTTAACTTACAACCAGTTGTACCTGATGGACTTTAAAGCAAAAGTAGTTTCTGTAGTGTAGGGAAACCTCAGTTGATTTCTCTTCCATAGTTTGTCAGTCTTCCCTTGAAGACATATACAATTTTGTATCTATAATGTTCTGCATCAAGGAGTTCCAGAGCTTAACTACAGGTTGTATGAGGAATCATCTTCTTTTCTTTATTTTCAGCCTGTCACAAACTAACATAATTTAGGATAAATAATATTAATGTGGAAAAGCTGGTTTTACTTTGCTTTACCCTAATATAGCTGTTGAACGAGAAAGTTTCTTATGTCAGGCTCAAGAATAATGTTTCTATTTTTCCCTAGAATATTTCTCTGTTTCTCAGTCCTTCCTCAGGGTCTGGATTTTTTATATTTCTCTGTAGCTGAACTTTGTGAGCCCATAGGAAAGTTAAGTCACTAACTGTTAGTTCATATAGAAAGTCTTAAATGTGTCTGGGTTGATGTCATTCCACTGTGATGGCTGAAGTCTTCCTAGCTGGACTCATAACTAACTTTATAGAGAAGTTCACTTTTTTTCCTCTCTGCTTTATAGAGAGACTTTCTGTAAGCAAATGGGTGGAGTACTATGGCCCCCTTCTGCCACTCTTTAAAAAGAAAAAAATGCAAACAGTGAAAGCACAGAACCCTCAATAAATGCCTTGGAACCTCCCATTTGAAACACTATACTCAAGTACTCACTACTCACAAAGGCATTCTTAGAAGCCAAGATTTTCTTCATTTATAATGAACCACTTGTCACTGGGAATGAACTAACTACACTTCAGTATAACTGGAAGAAGTCCAAGCTGAGGAACTTGATAAAAATGGTAATTCTCATTACAGACCAGAGGTCCTACTAGGCAGCATTGTCATTTTCAACCATGCATTTAAGCTCTGTTTACTCACCCCCTCTCTACTGTTTGAGCGAAGCCAACTCCAAGCATGGGCAATGTCAGCAGTTGCCATGGCCCAGCACAGGTTGCTGACAAGAGGGAAACACAGGGGCTCCTCTTGCCAGAGGATGAGGATGTGAATGGCTGTAAAGACACCTTTGCAGGGTGAGGGAAGGGGAGAGAGAATACAGCCTCTAGGATAGGGAGGAAAAATCCTGAGAAGGCAACAAGCTGAATGCAAGAAAAAACCCTCAACGTGTTACCCTTTCTGCCATGCTGTTCTCCTGTCTTCCTCCAAATCCCAAGATGCTTGACCCTCTCTTTTCCTTCACTCCTTTCCCATACAAATTTTGGGTTGGCTTACAGTAATTAGAATTCTTGAGTCAGCTCTTTAAGCTAGGATGAATTGCTAGAAGACGAGGTGGAACCTAGAAAGTGAGGGAGATCCCCAGCTACCTGAAATTGTTAAAATTCTTCCTCCAGTTTCCAAACCCACATGTTTGGTGGCATTCCAGCTGCCAAGCATATCCATGAAATTAAAACTATTTTCAATTCTTCTCACTTCTTGCTTCCAACATCAAATCTTTCTGCATTCACAGGACAAAAACTACCTAACTTCTCAGGATATTCTTCAATTATTTTGTCACTATAACCTACCTGACTGCAGCTGAATGCTTCTCAGATGCTCAGGGGAAGGCTTGTAGTCAAGCAGAACTAGAATATGTTTCTCTTCAGACTACCCCATCATGAATTTACATGTCAGTGTAGCTCAGACAGAAGAAAATTTCTACCCAGTTACCTGGCAGTTTTTATCTTGGTCTGTTCAGTGCGGCTTCTGCTCTGGGGTTTCCTTCTTATTGTAGGAAGGTCAACACATTTCAAACTAAGCTTACATAATTTTAAACACAATTTTCAGATCATAAATTGATAGAGGCTGCTACACTAACCATCTCCTTTAACTGCTTTTGGCCTCATTCTTTAAATGACCTGAAAGTTGGAACTGACAGTTCTACTCTGACAAAGCAAAATAAAGAACAAATTTTTGAAATCTCACATTCCCTGGTAGAAACCACTACACTGTCCCCCGTTCCCTCCTCTGGGTGCGTTCACTCCACACTCCATGTTCATCGATATCATTCTCTGCTCTGACTTACGGGGAAAAACCCACTGCCGCTCCTGGCTCTTACAAAATTTAAGCAGCTTCAGTACGCATAGGAAGAACTAATTTTACACGGCAGGCATAACAGCTCAACACTGGGGGGAAATAAAGAATTGGCGTAAAAGGACAGGGGTTTCTCCTCCGGCGGGGCTTCCCCGCTCCCTGCCGCGAGGCGGAGCTCCCGGACAGCCGGCAGCGGCTCCATCCCTTGGCTCCATCCCCCGGGTCCCGGGCGGGCTCCTCCCGACCCTCCCCTCCGCAGGGCTCTTCTCCCCGCTCCTCCGGGCCGGGAGGAGTTGGAGGTGGAGGGGGAAAGAGGTCGCGTCCCGTCCGCTGCTCTGCCGCTGAGTGACTCTGGGGGTCTAGCCCTGCCAGCCGGGCAGCGGCTCCGGGGCGGCAGCAAGCGGGCACCGACCGGGAACCGATCGGAGAAACGGTGGGGAGGGATGGCTTTGCCCGGATAGCCGCTTTCCCACTGCCCTCTCCGCTGTTGCCGGCCGCTCCTATGCGTTCGCGTGTTAAAGCTCAGGGCTTTCCCGGAAAAAAGGCGAGGATTTGCGGAGGTAGGCTTTACTTCTACTGCTCCTTAGCCATTCCCTGGTCCTGCTTTCCGAGTGAGGTTCTGCTTTTCCGCTCCTCATCCAAAGAAGTTCCCCTTCTACAGAGCCTGCAAGTCAAATACCTTGGCACGGCTCTTTTATTTTTGCTATCCAAGATAAATCTGCTTCCAGTAGTGACGAATCTGGATGAAATTAGTGTCAATTCCAGGGGAGCGGCGGGGATGGTAGCCCGAATACTGAGGCTATGATTCAGAATTTAAGGAGAGTTTGTTTTGAACGGTGAAGAGGTTCCTTGCCTGCTCCCTGCAGATGGCACAGCACAGAGACAACCCCCCGAAAGCCCAATAAAGATGCCCCTTGCCTCAGTCCCGTTAAGCCGTCTTGTGAAACTGGCTTTAAATGTTAAGAAATAAGTACCAAAGAAACGTGTGACGTTTTAGTCCTATCAAAAATATATCCGTAAGGATAAAGAGGCAGGAGCTTTATACAAAACCTCCCAGCTGCCAAACCCAAGGTACTGACATCGCTCAGTCTCATCAGTTTTTTAAAACGACCCGCGTAGGAAGAACGACATCGCATAAAGAGTATCACCTTAGAGACGCCGGTTACCTCGGACTGCCCGGTCCCCGGCCCCGGGCAGCCCCTTCAGCCCCCATCCCCAGCTCCTCTCCTGCCCACCTAGGTCTCTGGGGGCTGCCTCTCCCCCTGCGGCCGACGACAGGAAGGGTCTTGGTCATACCTGGCACCCCTCAGGACGGACGGAGGGGCAGGCGGCGGCCGCAGCCCCGGGGCACAGGCTCCCGGCTCCCCGCTCCGCGCCGCTCGTCCACCGCCCAGAGCCCGCGGCTACTGAGCACGGGGCGGGGGGAGCGGCCAGGTCTTCCCAGGAGGGGGAGGGGATGGAAAAAGGAAAAGAAAAAAAAACAGAGAGAAAAAGAAGGCGAGAGGGAGGAAGCCGGGAGGGTGCGAGGGGGAGGGCCGAGGGGAGCGGAGGCAGATCCCGGTGTCTCCTTGGATGGGAAGGGAAGAAGGGGCTCTGCCTGCGGGGCGGGGAGTCGCATCGCCCCGGCAGCGGCTTCCTCTCGGCGTCGGGCGGAGAGCCGGGATGACCCGCACGGGGACGGGGCGGGAGAGGCTGCCGGGACGGGGGAGCGAGGCGGGGACAAGGGGGGAGGCGGAGGGAGTCCGTCCCAAGGGAACAGCGGGAGGGCTCGCACTGGCAGCACTGTGCCACCTCTATGGGTGGCGGGACCGGGTGGTGCCCGCGGGGAGGGCGGCTCCGCCCTGAGCCGCCGGAGGGCTCCTGGGGGAGGCGAGGAGCGACTGTCGGCTCCACAGGAGCCGGGAAGGGGCTTGCGGCTGCGGGGAGTGGCGTTCCCACGAACCCTGGCCTGCCCGCTCCTCCCTGCCCTCGCACCCTGTCTCCCAGCCCCACTCCTCTGGGGCGGCCCCCTCCTCCAGACCATCCCTGCTCTTCAGGGCCTCAAAGCCAGGTGAGAAGCACCTTCCTCCTTTCCTCACCACTCTTCCTCTTTTTCTGCCTTCCTTCTTTCCCTCGGCGCCCCTTTTGTCTCCCCTCTCAAGGCAAAAAGCTTTGGGTAGTGGTATCTCCTCCATGAATCACCTCTTTGCACTACAAGAGGGTCCTCCCCAAAGTTTTCCACTGCCACACAAATGCACAAGGTGAAAAGCTCACTCACTAAGCACTTCTGCAAGTGCTTATCCTGAGCACTTTCATTAAGTTCATTGACTGAAAACTCAGCTCATGCTAGATGAAGGCCCACTGATTTGCCAAAACCATCAGGAAATTTATGGCGTTACTGGAGATCAGAGTGAGATCTCCTGAGTGCTGTTTGGTTGTCTTAATCATAGGCATATCTTTCCTTTAAAAGTCTTAACTTCTGAAATTTAGTGGTGCCAATTATGTAAATCGGTTGGAAATAAGGCCTTGGCCAGCAACTGCAGTTTCATTTTGAAGTCTGAAGCTGATTTCTTCAAAATGTAAATTTCGCTTGCAGTTCTATTTTTGTTGTTGTTTGTGTGCACAATTTAAAAACAAAGTGAAATAATAATAATTTGTGTGCCAGAGAAAATGAGCTGAAGAATTCCCCAGTGTAATTAACAAGACAGGACAGAAACGAGGGTAAGGCAGTTAAGTTTTACAAGCAATTTCTTGAACATAAGAGCTTCCACATTGGGTCAGACAAAGTGCTTTGCTGGACCAATATTGTGTTGCATTAGTAAAGGCAATAATCCTCTTCAGCACTTTCGCTGCCACCAGTATTTCAAACTCAAAGATTTTTATAAGGCAGGTGTAGTTTCTATGACTTTAGTAGCCACTAGATTTCTCTGTCAGGCACTTTCCCATCTTCCCTTTAGCCTATATAGATCTGTAGCACCTACAACTTGCTCTAGTAACAAGTTCCCCAGGTCAAACACATGTTGTGCAAAAACCTGCCTCTTTTTGTGTACTTTCAACCTAGCTACTGCTAGCTTCATTTGATGCTCACTAGTTTGTTATTATATGCTCTGTAATTCCTCTCCCACCTGAAGGATTCTATTTGAGTTAGCTGTGCTTCACATGAAATATGTTCCTGTTTTCCATCTTACTGCTGAAGTTCAGGGACCAGAACAGCATCTGAAGGAAGATGCAGCCAAACACTTCTTGGCAGTGGCAAGTAGAAAACAAGGAACAACAGCTACTTGCATTGGGCAGCTGTGTTGAACAAGAACAACTGCAGCTTGGGAGGTTCAAACTGGACATGGGGAAAACTTTGTTCACCAAAAGGAACATGCAACATCGTAACAAATTGCCCAGACAAGTTGTGGAATCGCCAATTCTTGGTGGTTTCCAACACTCAGATAAACACTCAGTTAAACAAAGTCACAGCTGATCTGATCTGGCAACAGTCCTGCTTCAAGGGAAAGGTTGGACTGGGTGACCTGCAGAGGTCCCTCTCAACCAATATTTCTATGATTCTTTACCTACACAAAAAATGCAAGCAAAATATAGATTTCTGTGACAACAAAGAGATATTGTTTGTTTTGTTCTCTACTGATTTCTTAACACTTTTTTTTTTTCATCTGTTGATCACCAGGCTGATGTTATCATGGAGCCACTTTCATAACTCCAGGACTCTCTCTCCTGAGAAGTAATGACCAGATCAAAACCTGCCTTTTCATACCTGAAGTAAGGATCCTTTTCCTCCCTGTGCAGTACTTTGCATTTATCTAATACTGAACTCCATCTGCCATTTTATTGCTTGGTCACTCCCATAAACTTGTCTGCAGATAATCAAGGTTGTCTCATCTTCATTAAGCTAAATAATTTGATAGCCTCATCAGGCTTTGTGATCTGACTACTTATCCCTTTTCCAGATCATTTATGAATACGCTGAATGGTGCAGGACACAGCAAATTGTTATTGGTAACCTATCATCCCTAGAAAAACTGATCCTCTAGTCCTATACTTTCTTTCCCATTTTCCAGAAAATACAGATATCATAGGTTCATTTCTGTTTATTGAACTCTGGATGATGGGATCAGTGTGCTTTTGATCCATCAGTCCTCTGACTCCTGATTTCAGAATCTAAATTTCAAATTTAAATAATGTAAAACCATTTTTTCTTGAATCCTGTGTTGTGGTTTAACCCCAGCCAGCAACTAAGCTCTCAGCTACTCACTCACTCCTCCCCACTCTGGTGGGACTGGGAGGAGAATCAGAAAAAGGTAAAACCCATGGGTTGAAATAAGAACAGTTTAATAATGGAAATAAAGTAGAACACTATAATAATGACAATAATAACAATCATAGTAGGAAAAAAGGAGATAACAAAAAAAAAAAAGGAGGAATAAGCCTCCATAAAGACAAGTGATGCACAACACAGTTGCTCACCACCTGCTGGCCAAAGCCCAGCGCAGCCCAGCCTTGACCAGTCATCCACGCCTCCTGGCCAACTGCTCTAGTTTATATACTGGCAGGATATTCTATGGTATGGAATATCCCTTTGGCCAGTTCAGGTCAGTTGTCCTGGCCTTGCTCCCTCCCAGCTTCTTCTGTGTCTCCTCATTGGCAGAGCATGAGAAAAAGTCCTTGATGTAGAGTAAGCACTACTGAGCAACAACTGAAACATCAGTGTGTTATCAACATGATTCTCCTACTAAATCCAAAACACAGCACTGTACCAGCTACTAGGAATAAAATTAACTCTATCTTAGCCAAAATCAGGATGCATATTCCATTACTAATATTTTATTTCTCGTAATAATAAGATTATACAGTTTGGATAATTCTTCATAAATAATTTTTTTTTTTAAATTATCACATTAAAATTTTCCTCAAAATAAAGTTTGCAGAAGACATGAGGAACATACGTTTTGGAGTACTAATTCTTTAGAAACACACTATATAATATACATGGTAGGGCTGTAAAAATATAATTGTTGGAAAATTTCCAGCATGCTAATTTTATCCTTCAGAAGTAACTTTATCTTATTAGAAGATTAGTGAGCCCTTTTGCTATTCCTACATGTTCCAAAAATAAGTTTCACATCATTTACCAACTGAGAGATGTTCACTTGGAAGTGAGCTTTGAAAGACTGATACCTAAATTTTAAAAAAAAAAGTAAAACAAAAGCTGCATTAACATCAAGAATGTACTAACTTCAGTCAAAATTCTTCCTGCATATCTGCAAAGAAAATAAAGAAGGAAAAAAAGCAAATTTTTGCCACCAGATGTACCTTGGGTTTGAGTTCAGTCACAGATCTGTTGTAATCTTATTTTAGGGTGAATAACCCACAAAATGAGCTCCAAAGTTCCCAAATAAGATTGTCCTAGATTTTTTTGTCAGGTAGAAATTTGAGATAGGAGCTTCAAATTTCCCTAGTGGAGAACCTACACTGAGTGTGGACGTATTGGCTGGGCAGCTGCTTCTGGAATGTCATTTGGCTTTATAACGCTGGAGGAACACCCTCTGCTCTCATGTGGGTCTTGCACGCACGAGAAAAATGTTTGATCACAGCAACAATGTGCCTTGTCTGCAGTCTCCAAATTCTATTCCTTGTAGTGCATTGTGCCTCAGCAGGCAGATATACCTACCCACAACATATTCTTTCACATCTGACTTAAGGGAAAACAGGCAGGTGCAACTCAGGAAAACTGAAACAAGGTTCGTAGGTGTCAAAAAGAATGCAAATGCCTATAACAAAATTAAAAGTTCAATGCATAGCCATACCCCGCAAGAAGTCAGCTTTAATCTCTTCTTTTCTTCTCTTCAGTCCTTCTACTTATGTATACATGTACACATGCTTTATCATAAAGCTACTGGTTACTTGGATAGTGCAAGTAACTTCCTTTCCTTCACACTTTAAGCCTCAAGCTGGAGCTTGAGTACCTCTGGGTACACTTCCAGCTCAGCTGATATAGGTTTCACTTCCTTTCTACTTTTCTTGTTCCAGGCCTATTTTTTGTGAGTTTTTGTGAGTTTTAACACTTTTGCAGTTCCCAAACTCTAAACTTGGGATAACTCATTGGCTCATGGTGAATGGACGTGAGATAATTCCTAGTGCTTTCAGAACAAAGGGATGTGAAATACAATGGATCTTTCTTACAGGATCACAAATGGTCTCCATGGTAGTCTCTCTTCTGTGGCAGCTTGTTGCCACAGAAGGCCTTTTGTTTTGTGGACCAGTGGGGTTGGTTATTGTGCTGTTCAGAGGTGCCTGTGACACAGTGCTGACCAGTTAGACTAAAACACTGAATGAAACAGATCTTAGAGATCCTGGCTCTGAGAACTTGAAAAAGATGCAAGAACTGCAATACATCACATCATTTTTTTAAGAGTGCACACAGTGAGGACAAAAAAGGACGAAAACAGCATTGCTAGCTCTCCTGAATTGCTAGAATTCAGGAGAATTCTGCATAAACCAATGGACCATCACAGTACAGGTTGGAGGGGTATTAATTTTAAATTGGGTATGGGTGTACAAGGTACTATGGTGCCAGAAACGTGGATCTTAGCAATGAGTGCAATGTGGCCAACACAAGAACTTACGGATTACAAAAAGAAGGAGGGATGGGAAAATTGAGGCATCTAATTGTGACCTGATTTTCACAATATGAGTTTAGGAGCTAGATATATGGGTAAATAGTAGACATGCAAAAATGCACTTTGTAATAGCTCAAAGAGGTAAAGTCCCATTTCTGAGTTAAAACTATGTCAAGCTTGTGGGCAAATCAAACGGATGCATGTGAAAGGTGTCCTTGGCCATGGCAGGGAGGTTGGAGCTAGATAACCTTTTCAACCCAGGCTGTTCTATGATTCTATAATTCTTTCTTTAGCGAGGCAGCAAGCAAAAATAAATGTGGTTCCGTCTAAGCATATAATCCACAGGAGAGAAGATCTTTTAACTGTGCAGAACAGAAGTGAGTTAATAGCCCAGTCACCACACTGTTCCTGACTTACATAATTTTTCTCTCCCCCTTGAATAGCAGCAGAAAATGAAGCCAGACAGGCTCATTGTTGTAAAATTGTGTGTTTAGTAGAAAAGCAGTCGGTTCACTCATCATTGCTAAAAGAGCAAAACCTACAATTCTTACCTGCTGTGTAGCATCATGGAGATTATATACATATATATATGTGAAGTGAACATTTTCCTCAAGGAAAATTTCCATAAGAAGAGATACTTCTGGAGATGTGTTAGATGGCAAATATTTTTATACACACAATGTGTTGGCAGGTTGCAAGCAGGTACTGTTAAGGAAAAAAAACCAACGCCACACCATTTTTGTGAGCATATTACATTGAAGGAAACAGTTTCCTCCAACTGGCATTCTCATCAGCAGCTTTACTGGAAAACCAGTGAAATATAGATGGCAATGCAGCAGACTATGATATGAATAAATGACATTCTGATGTGAGGAGAAAAGAAGTGCATGACCAGAGATCCTGAGAAGCTTTGGAAGAAAACCCAAATTTGCCTGGTTAAAGTTGAATATTTGTTCCCTTCCCAAGCTTCTAAATTCCTATAATGGAAACAGTGTACCACAGAGGAAAGTTAATAGAGTGACATTGACATGTTAGATAAAATAGATTTTATCTATCTTTAGCATGATTGACCCAAGAGAGAGGGAAGAGATTCCAGAGAAAGATGAACTGGTGAGGGACATGGTGCCTATTCTTACCATTCAAACCAGTAGAGGGTGAGTGGCAGTGAAATGCACGTATTAAAACCTCCGAGAAATCTGAGGAAATAACAGCAATATGTTATGGGAGAAAAGGTGACATAAAACTGGGGTACTTCCAAACAGAATATTGAAGTAGCCTTCCTCCAGAAGTATCAGCAAAGTAGGAAAACATGCAATAACAGAAATTGCATTTAAAAAATAAAAAAAGTTAAAAAGGGTGGTGTTGGCCTTACTTCAAAGATATTATAGAATTATTCTCAATGTTAACTGAAGATGACCCCAAATCATTTAATGCCATTGCAAATATACTCAGGAGAGTACAAAACTCATTTTTCAGCTATAGCAGCATAACTTGTAAAATGAATACAGATCTGAGGGGAAACACACACCTTAAAAGAACCATTTACTTCACCAGAATTCAGAATAGTATTCAATCACAAGGCAATTTTTTTTTATTCTTAGTAAACTGTAGGTATGAAGTCTGATCTAACAACACCTAGTGATACTGTTTTAAAATTCCATTCACAACCCCCAAATAGCTGGATATTTCTGCTAAAATTATTAACATTGTAATAACTAATAATAATGGAATTTTTAAGGTTTCTCTTTAGTCTTAAACTTGATATTCCACCGGAATATCAGGCATTTTATACCTCTCAGAGCCATAATTACTATTAGGAAAACAATGTTACATATATTGCCAAAACCCATGGTGAATGAAGCGTTGGGATTGCCAAGTATGCCTTGTTGCTGTCCAGAGTGCATTAAGTGTACATTATCTTTGTGCCCTTGAAGCTGGCAGGAAAAACTAGGACCAAACAATATCGAGGACATGTTTTTAATGCAGTCTTCCATCTTCTGTTTTGCACCCCATGTGGTCCTATCCTGTGTCTTCTGTTCATGTATTCTTACTTACCTCCACTGTGTTAGGCAGGACTCGGTCACATTGGTAACTGAGGGGAAGTATAGTGGCAGCTGAAGTAATGGGGGATCTTTTTTGTGG